ATAGACATGGAAAAGCGACTGCCATTCGCTGGAAATACTTGAAAATGCAGTTACGTTTCCTTTTGGGCAGAGAGAAAGCTTCTATTCCAGCAGCAAAGCACTAATTTCGGACCATCAAAGATCAGAAAATAAGCATGAATCGGCTTGCAAGGTTGGGTTAAACTTAGGAATACAACTGGGGATTGCCCGCTGAATTGTGACCACACCTCAAGACTGCAAAATAACAAAAAATAACCGCCTAAAACCTAAAAAATGCATAACCGTCTCAAAGTTTACATTTCTCTGCTTAATTAATCGATCAATTAATCATATAAGCTTCATAGACAATAAATCACAGTTTAGCCCCCCCCAATCGCAGAAGAAAGATACAAATCGAGTGCACATTTTTCAGTGCCGCCTCAGCCATGGACCAATTGAAAATATCTATGGATTGGATCAGCCACCGAATCGAATCGGAATCTTTGATTTGCTCGGCATACACTCGTAATTGAATCAATTGAGTGAGTAGGGGCACAACAGACGCAGAATCAGAATCAGAAGCCACATGACGAACATATTCATAATTAGAGCAGCGCCAAGAAATTCGAGGAAAAATTAATGGAATTGTTAATAATGCGCCAGCACAGATTTCCCAGAGGCCGGCATAAAACCCGTAAAGAGAGAGAGGGAGAACCGCCTCACTGGAAAGGGGGAAGAGCAAGGCGGAACCGTAGTACGAGCAAAGCAATTGAAAGCTTCCCAAATTGTTCAGATTCTTCCCTCTGCTTCTGCGTCTGCGTGGCCAATGCACTTTGGGAATGGAATGAATACTCGTATGTACATATGTATGTATTTATGTATATGCTAATGGATCGATGGAAGTTGGGAGCTCCCATTAAGAACACTTAAGCCTCGAATGCAGACTTGGAAATGACTTTTAAATGGTTCTCTGCCTTGAATTGGAATTCTGCGTGCTTCCAATTTTTATGTTTTATCAAAGAGAGAGAGAGAGAGCGAGAGCGATACTCGTATTGATTGGAAATATTGGAAGCAAAGTTCATATGCGTCACGACCAGAGCAGAGCTTGCCCTTTCTCCCACTCCTCGCCCAGTCGGAGATTTATTATGCTGGAGAGCCGAACCGAACGGAAGCAAGAAGAGAGAAAGAGAGAGTGAGAGGTAGGGGTGCCGTGCCGAAGGGAGGAAGAATGGCAGTTCAAGAATGCCACTTGAACAGCCAACGACGCCGTCAAGCACTCGCATGATGCATATGAGAGCAGGAGAGAACACTAGAGACTGGAATGACAGGGGGATCGGGCAGTACTCGTACACCCAACAAAAGAGTAGGGATCTTCGCTCTGGCTAAGCAGGAGCAGCAGCAGCAGCAGCAGAACAAGATCTGCTGCATCACTCAGCCGGCCTGTGCCTGGCATCGGAAATAATTGCCATTCCATCGGGATACAACAACTGGCTCCTACTGACGACTGTGCATTGGCATGAACCAAGCCAAACCAAGCCCCTAGTTCCATGTGTTTCACTTCATTTACAACAAATGTTGCGTGTCTGGCAGTGAGCGAAAGGGGAGAGACGTAACGGAGACGGAGACCCTTTGGGGAGCTCTCGTATGTGACGAATTTTCATTTGATTTATGCACTCTCCCCTCCTCCTCCATGAGTATTTGCATGCCCGCTGATCTCTATTTTCGGTAGTTTTACAACCAAATCAAATACAATTCGCCACAAAGTAAACACTTCCCAGTGGGCACAATATGTTTCACATTCAAGATGATGCAAGCATAAACAAGTCTGTCCATCACAATGAAATATTCGTTGTACGGAATTTAATATATACATATATATATGTACATATGTATGTATGTATGATGAGCATGGCCCAAGAACTAATCGATCTACGTTTGGATAATAAACCTAAACGCTCATCATTAGAAAGAGAAGAAAAAGTGGCTCCAAGCGATCCATTTTGATGGATTGTTTTGCTCCCTCCCCAAACCACCCCATTCACTCGGTGTACAAGAACAGGCACATAATGGATGTACTGTGTAAAAGCAGCAAGTCCCAAAAAAACATTTCCATTTCCATTCAGATTGTCTGAATTAATGAACTCAAAAAGGAAACAAAAATTCAATCAATCTTTCTCTTTTTCACTTTGGGGGAAACTCCAACGGACTCCAACGCGTGCTCTTGTCATTTTCGATGTGTCCCCACTCTTCCGATGCTCCTCGTTTGCGCCTGCGTCTGCGCAACGCATTCAATCACTTCATTTGTTTAGAGTTCGTCATCGTCTTCGTCTTCGTTTTGGTGTTCGTCTTGGGGCATTCGTCTCCATGGCGGCACGTTCGTTGAGGCTGTAAAATGTTTTATTTACTCTGCACTTATGACCCCGATGCGGATCGGGTTAAGTGAATCTGATACCCATATACTCGTACATATACCCAACCATCGCAAACGGAGGCTGTTGCTGCATTTGCATCTTCCACAATAACGAAGCTGCCGGCCGCTTTATGAGACGACTGTTGTCTGTGTGCCGGATGATGGGTACTGGGGGAGCAGAGGAGGAGGAGGAGGAGGTTATTGAATGTCATTGTAACCAAACACAGACAAATGTTGTGGCAACGTAGCTCTGCAGCTGGAGATGACGCCGAAGCTCTCCGACTCGCAATGTTTTGTGTTCAATGATGAATTGTGTCCCTGATTCCGTAGACATGGGCACAAACATGATCGCTGTCTGGTGGCGAGGCACAGTGGGCATAATGCTCTTTTCCTTTGATTCAAAGTTAAGTAAAGCTAACTGGAATAACATACCACTGAGCCCACTCAGCCCACTGTGCACAGTTCCTTAAGTCGTTGGAGTTTGACGCCAATTGGATGGCAACAACAAAAGCAAGATGCCGATTAGTATGTACACTTGAAGAAATAGTTGTGCCGTGTAGAAATATGCCTGCATCTTTTGTGTGCTTTAATTGCAGAATTGTGCGCAGAGCCCTCGAGTGCAACCTTCGCTGTCTGCCCTGCGCGCAGATGATGCTGGTGCCCAGAGGCCCATCTGCAGATGCAGATGCAGATCCACACAACTGCATCACTGTCTTGGCGATGTGATTAATTGACAGTGGTGTCGCCTGAATTGCGCGGGTTTTATTGAAGGGATTACACGACAGAGGACCGGGCGGACGAGTCGCAATTCCATAAAAACGCAACAGCACAGTGGAGTGAGCAGTCGCATTACTCGTAATAAGATTAATTACGAGCGTCTCCAGCCACAATTCTGGATGCGGATCCTCGGCGGCACACAGCTGCGTGACCACTTCACATTCATATGGTAGCGGAGCGAGTGGAACAGGAATGGGGGATGGGGATGTGGCTGGGCAACTCCTCAATTCAATATTTTGACATTACAAATAAAGTTCCCATTTGGTGGCTCAAGTGTTTCATTAATTTGAAAGCTTTTCGGGTACTTTGTGCCCCTCCAATGCACAGCAGAACAGTGGGCAGGGGGTAAGTGTGTTAATCCCTGCCGGAAATTAGCATATTTGATTCCTTAGCTCCTGTTGGCACGCGAGCCAGACGCAGCTACCAACCACTGGAAATAGCGGAACAATAAGGGGAATAAGTGGGATAAGAGGCGGTTGTAATTGAAATTGAATGAAAGTCCCCCAAGAAAAACTCATTCCATATTCATGATGGGATCTCCCCTGTTTGCCAGGAAGCAAAAGTATGAAAAGTATGAAAAACAATTACATGTTTTATTTTTAATTAACTTTTATCGTGGCCCGAGATGAATAGTACATCTCCCTCAAAGTCCCAAGACGAATTGGCACTGATGATGTCATTCCCGCAGCATTCATCTCCCATAAATCACGAGGCGAGGCGATCGCGAAATATCTTCAAGTTTATGCTCAAACATGCTGAGAGGCAATGACAGCAGTTGGGGCATCAGCATCGGCCACGGAGCTACGGAGCCAGCATGCAATGGAGAAGGGAAGTGGAGCCAGCTGCCACAGATTAGTCAGCGTCAGATTCGAATACGGATTCAGCGACGAGTCTCCGCTTGGCGCACTTTAATTTGCTTCGGGGGCAAGCTGCTCGACTGGTTCCCAACGCAGCGCAGGGCGGGGATGTGGATGTGGGCTACATGGACTAAAGATCAAGGTGAGTGGCGAAAGGAATGTTTGGCGATGCCCCTCCAACCCATCAACAGCCAGAACACCAGCATCTCTGTATTACATTAATAGTTCTCCCACATCAGAATCTCTTATATAAGGAGGGGAGCATTGTCGAAGCCAAAAGATTTAACGGCTGTCGGCTTAAGGGTGACCAAACTTTCTTCTTTCATAACAGCCAACAGACCTGCTAAGATGCCTTTGTTCGAACACAGATATCAAAAGCAAAGCACCCAAAAATAAACCGCAAAAAAGCCAAAGCCGAATCAGCAACACAAACAGATATTCTGCGGCTACCAAAGGTTAAGGTAGGGAGAAAGATTAGGCAAAATCTCAATGCATAAAGGGAATTTCTGGTGGTTTGAGCTCAAGCTCAAGCTCAATATATTCAGTAGCATTAGTATGCACAAGCTGCCATGCACATACCTATGTACCTATAGACGTAAGTACATATACACATATGTACATCTGTCATGTGGCATGACTCACCGCACGCCTCGCCACGACGTACATAAAGTAAAAAGGCCCAAACATGAGTAAATGCACATTCATGGATTTTTTAAATGGGCCGTCGAAAATAAAGAAATAAACTGTTGGAGCCACATATGTAAGAGCGTGACTCGTTTCTTCCCATGCTTCTTTTGCCATTGCTGCGGCTGCCCCAGGTCCCACCAAGTCGGTTGGGCCGTCATTCATTCACGCCAAGAGCTGATAAGTTTTTGTGGCACTTTTTGACTTGTTTGCATATCTCAGTGGCCAACGGAGCAGTGCCCATCGAGCTGCCTGCCTGCATGCCTGCCTGTGGCACCATTTGATATTGGAAATGGACAACTGCAGATTGCGGCTTCAACTGACATTATCACTTCTCACTTGGGCTTTTATTCGGCTCCAGCAGTGGCGCTGGCACAGGAATTTGGCCTAATCCGTCACTAATTGAATCATTAAACTAAACATAAGAACGAAGACTCCATTCCTCTCCACGTCTAGGCCTGCTTCTCCGAGGTCCAGCCCTTGGGACGATCGGCCATAAGGCTCCAATCGTTTTGGGCAATGTTGACGCCGCCGTACTGCTTGGTGGGTGTGTCGGGGAAGAACTCCCAGCCCTGTTCAATGGACATCTTCTTAAGAACACCGGCAATGCCTGTGAGAGAGAGAGTGAGAGCGTTAGATAACCACCAACAATGCAAAGAGACGCGGGAGCTCACTCACCTAGGAAGAGACCAGCACAGAGACCGGCCACATGGTTGTGTTTCCAGGCACCGAAGACGCCACCAGCAGCGAATCCGCCCAGCAAGTAGTTAATTCTGCAATTTAAATAATCGTTATTCCAGGCAGCCAGTCCAAGGTTCTTTCTTTCGCCCACTCACTTGTCATCCTTTCCGCGCGCATTGGTGGCTGCCAGTGTGGTGAGCGTAAATGCTGTGGCCATGCCCATCAGCGGACCCGTGTTGTAGGCAAAGCGCCCCAGCGTGGGCAGGTAGCCCTTTGGCTTCGCCAGCGTCAGCACATCGACTGTGGACCAGGCCAGGCCGGCGGCGGCGGCGTATTTGTTGGTGGCCACAATCTTGCCAAAGGCATCCTCCCCATCGGGATGATCGTAGTACTTGGAGCGTAAGATCGACATTGTCGGCTGAAACACACACGGAAAAACATTAGACACAAACAAAAGCATGGGAATCTTTTCTACCCGCTGCAATTTAGCCACAGGGAACTACCCCCACCATGGCGGGTCATGTTGGCCGCCACATCAAGGGTTATTCCGATTGCAGTACATCATAATTATTGTTAAATATACTAACCTGCCGAAATTTACGTAATTATTTCAGAAATTTTTAACAACAACAGCTGATGGGGTAGAGCTGCAATCCTGCACCGCCATCTGGATATTTTTATCGACAAAATACCGAAGTGTATATTTTTATCGAAAAAATACTGAAAGTGCATAGTTTTCATTTTTTTGGTGAAAATATCCAGTGGCGCTGCAGGATAAGAATATATATAGAAGATGTTTCCTTGCGACCGGGTTAATTCAAAATAAAATTCAAATTCACAGTGGATGTCAATTTAAATGAAATTTTCCTCGCTAAAATGCTGAAAAGAAACTGAGCGCGAATCCGAGAAAAACGGATATAGATATCATCGCAGATCACTTTTCTCTAATTCGAGTCCAAGTCAATGATACCAGTAAATGAGAGCAAACTTTTCGATTTCAAGTCTGGTTTATAATTTATTCTCTATACTAGCTGCACAAACGCTGTGGCACTAATATTAGTTCTTTAATCTTAAGGTGCAATAGAACGCTTTTTATTAAGGTAATTTATCCTTCCCACGCAACGAGAAGAGAAAAGGTTTCTGTTATGCGAAAAGTATGTATTATAGAGTGCAGAATAATAGACGATGCGATTTTGAATTTAGTGTGCTGTATGCGCTTAGCTTAGTGGTAGACTAGTTCTTGCCTTGAGTTTCAAACTAACATTATTCACATAAAATCATGCGGATCGGATCATGGATCGTAGGGTTTACGCATTTGGTGAGACTCTGCGTGCAAGTGGGATTACATTACGAGTAGATTTGACCAAAGTGGGGAACAGTTTCGTAGAGCAGTGTTGGGTGTTGGAGGGGCCATAGAGCAGTTGGCGTTTTCGAAAACAAAACGAATATATCAAAACATACAATATGTATATACAAATTAGTTATCAAATTATTGGCAATTCTGTTTCATGTTAATCAGTCGTAATTTGCTAATTATTTCACTCTGCTCCTGCGATCGTTTCGTTTCATCAAAATTATGTCATCATCAACTTTGCCAAACAATATACAAATATATAAAATTCGATTTGCATATATGTATGTATGTAGTATGTATATCTCTCAGAGCCGAATCGTTTCTCTATTGCTCATCATGGCCAATTATTTCGATATCGTCAGCCAGGGGACTCTCGATTTCCGGCCTGCCCACATTGCCATTTTGTTGATTTGCATCCAAATTAATCAATGATAATGTCATCTTGCTGCTAAGAATGACCTGAAAGCGAGAACAAAATTCAATTAGATCCGAAGGGACTCTGAAGAGTGTTTTTTTTTCTCTTACGGCTGGTTCCTCGGCGGATCCATTGAGCTCAGCATCGTAGACCTCTTCGCACTTGGTCTCGGCGTCGGCCACCAAAATCTGTGAGTCGTGTGCCAGAGCGCCTTCCAAGTAAATGGACTGCGGCTCGGGTAGATTTCCTTCCAATTTGGACTGCAATTAAAAGAGTAAAACGTGCTCTTAGTAATCCACAATGTTAGTAATTGGAAAGCAATGGGAACATTTTCGCTTGCAGCATTGATTGAATACTGTTCTGGGGGGGTGCAGTGGAACTTACATGTTCGCTTGGTGCTCGGAAAACAGGCGTTGGAGGGCGTCCGTGCCATTTGCGGCCGCCCTCGCAACTGGCTGTTACCTCCATGCCCAATACCTGACCAAACAATGGGTTATTTACATGAACAAATCTACGTTTATAAGATAAATTTTTACCGTTAGTTCCCGCTCAGCGCTTAGGTCCCGACGCTTCCTCTGCTGTTGATGTGGCTGCTGTTTGGCTGCCTTTGCACCCTGGTCGATGTTGGTGTTTACATGCCCATTGGAAATGTTCTCCTTCTCCAGTTGTTCTTTCGTTTTTTCGTTGTCGTTTTGCTGCGGGTTGGTACGAGTATATGGAAAAACTATGTTAGAGATTTCAGCTGCAGCTGACGCTGAAAGATTGGATCCGGATTGGATTCAAGCATATTTGTACAGCCTCAAACATTTAAAGTTAAAATAAAAAATCGAGAAAATCGAGAAATTAATTACTTCAATTTGTGGTTAGGTGAAACGCAACAAAACTCAATTAGTCGAAGGTTCTTGGTTAATAAAAACAGAAAGAATACGTAATTAGATATTCAGATAATATCAGATATATCTATAGGTAATGTTCAATTCAACGATTGCCGTGTGGGGACCCTTTGACGGCCTCTAACCTTATTCAAATCAGTTTCAGTATCACTCCTCTGCTTGTCTCGAACGTTCAATTGCTCATCGGCAGCGTCTATCAAACCTTGTATCGCCGTTACAACTATACACGATTCGGATTTTCAGTTTGGGTTTTCGTTTATCATGGTTTTTTTTGTATCACAGATTTGTTTTCAATAACAAAAATGGTTTTGTTTTGTTTTGTTTTGGTTTGGATTACACATGAGAGTGAGAAACATGAAAAACGTAGAAACGACAGAATATATGTGAATATTTATATTGTAAATCCTATACATATAGCATATTAAATGGCATGAGTACGAGGTATATTGGCAATGTGATGTTTCAGTCTAGACTCTAGAGAATACTAGTATTAATTTCGAATAGAGATTGGCCCGATTGAATTGTAAAATATGTCCCCATCATAAGAATTTAGTTGAAACAGTTTAGACAGATATGTAGGCAGTTGCAGGTGGTGGGTACATTTAGATTAAAGTTAGTTAGTAGTTAGGAATGGTAATTATCGTATCGCATGCCGATAGACTGCTGACGAGCAAAATTACGAGTAGAACAGAGATAGAGCGGGAGAGATGGATGTTCGCTCCATGCAATAGTTACAGACAGAGAGACAGAGAGTGAGAGAGAGAGAGACAATGATAGTATACACAGGGGATAACGGTAACAAGAAAAATAAGTGAAACTGGGGAGTGGAACTGGGGAAAGGGTAGCAAGAGAAACCATTCCAAAGGATTCAATTCAATTCATTTCATCTATCTACTAGAAACCAAAAACAAGAATTAATCTATTGTTGGCTTGTACTTAGGTATGATCTTTGATCTGATTTTGATCTGATTTGGGTCTGATTGATTGATTAGATGTGAATTGAATGTTGGTTGTTTTTTTGTCTTAAAAATTTGGCTGCCGCTTGAGAAACTTCATGGCAATCATCTTGAAAATGAGAACACAAAGAAACAGGTAAAGTATTAATAAATGATATTGAATGGTGTCGGCGGTGCCTGGCTAACTGAACTGAGTTCGCTACGATCGTAAAAATGATATATAGAAAATGCTATTGTATCTGTATCTGTATCCATATCGGAACAGTGCGCTGGTAACGCTGATGGTAACGATGGTGACGATGCTAACCTTTGCCTCATACTGATCGGTATTCATTTCGGCAATCAGCTTGGCCATCGCCCGCTCCGTATCCTCGAGCTTCTGGCGCAGCTTCTCAATCTCCATCAGCTGCTCCTTCTCCATCTGCTCCTGGTGCTGCCTGAGGGAGTTGGACAGACTGCTGGCCACCTTGGTGGCCGACAGGCTGACATTGTAGAGCTCCTCGTCGTGGCTGCGCTGTCTTCCATTCGTTGGGGTCTCCAGCGCCTGCGGCTTAACTGCTGCAATTCCTATAAAATTTGCGTACGAGTTTTGCTTTGAGATTGAGATTGAGGCCAAAAGGACAAACGAGAGACTAACAAACTAATGTATTTACAGAGGGGCGAAATCAGAACAAACTAAATGTATAGACATGTGCGTGAGGGGGCGGGCGTGACTCAATCAATGATTTTGTGATTGGCTTATGAGTTAGTAAACACTTAAATACAACATCTAGGATACATCTAGGATACATCAATAAACAAAACACGAGTGCACAAATATACGAGTATATCCGCCAAAAAAAGATACTAAACCAAATGAGGAGGACATATTTCAAAACTCAAGAGTGGGCGAAGCTTTCCTTCGCCATCATCCAATCGACTACGCCGTGGTCTAGAACCGAACTCAAGATACGAACAAAACTCTTTGGATCTTCTTCCATATCTGGATTACATGTACATAGCTGGCTTACTTGTCTGGTGTTCTCGCCAGCCTTATCGCATATGCAGGCGCAGGCAGGGCAGATTCAGATTCAGATTCAGATGTGTGGCGTAGTGTGTGCATGGGCGGGGCGGGGCGGAAGCAGAAAAGTACAAAAATGAATTGGTGTGGTGTTTCGGTTAGAATCGACTCGTGGGTTAAATGTTTTTGTGTATCTATTTGATGGATGGAGATGTCTGTGTGGTGTGGTGTGGCTGCTGCATTGTGTGTAAGAACTACAAGAAGAATAAGTAATAAATGTGACTGCAACTAGCCAGAGGACTCACCCAATTTGGTGCCGCCCAAATCCTCCACCTGGCTGTGCTCCTGTGGGGCAAACACCTGCTGACGGAAGCCGGGATCCGATGGGGCTGGTCCGTACGGGGCATTTGGCACTTGCTTCTTGAATGCAATCTGTGTGGCAATTGCAATTAGGAATATATCTTAAGGAGCAGCTGCAGGATATATGTAGGTATCCCTACCTTCATTATCGTATAGCCAAAGAACACGACAATTCCGATTGTGTAGAGCGGCATTAGAAAACCCATGCTGCTGCCTCGCTGCTGGGGCTGTTGCAGCGCTCCGGCGCCCATTGGAGGACGCATGCCAGGAATCGGACCAGGCTACGCAACAGAGAACAGAGTGAGAACATTATAGAATATCTTAGAACACAAAATCATTGGCAGCAAATGTTGAAAGCAATTCATGCTGTAATTGTGTGAGACTCCCTCCCCCTTGTGGCATTCGTGTTTATGTATCCGGATCAAATGGGTTTGGACAGGGCCAACATATAGTTAATTTATTCCGTTTGTTTTTTTTTTTCCATTTCACTCAGCTTCTGTGGCACTCGTTCGGAGGAGAGCAGACAGATATGAGATGGGACTGGGACTGGCGCATCGAATTTGGCACAAGTTCAACCCCACACTCTGCTGTTCGGTTCTCCCACTCATCCTTTACAGTTTCTTTTGTATGTTTTCTTTTGCGCTGTCTTTTGCCCTCAGTTGCGTGCAGTGTCATAAAAACAAAACCAAAATCCAAATAAAATAAACTTTTTCTATTTATAAATGACTTCCAACGAGAGCGATGATGTCTCATGCATCCCTTTCCGCCAACCCATCGCCATCAGTGTCATTATGATGATCACCGAATTGGATGATTAGGTTCCATAGAACAATGCACATCAAGATGGAGCACTCACCCGTCCGTCAACGAGGCGCGGTGGCGGATTGCTTGGTGAACTTTTGCGTTCAACAATCGGCACGGTGGGCGTGGCGGGAATGGCGCGACCACGCTCACGCATCGCCTGATATATGGACTCCGGATGCAGGTGGGCCGGACGCTCCTGTCGCAGACCTGGGAAGAATATTATTTCAATTAATTTGGGCTGTGCATAGCTTTGACTTTGAAAATAGAACACAAAATGAGGTTAAGGTAAGCGAAGAACCCGTCAGACAGGGATTTGAGGATCGATTTCGAGTTAGTGAAGCTTTTTAAAAGTTAGCGCAGGAATGCAAACATCGTTAACGAGAATATATGTATAGAGGGAAAGTGCTCCAGTGGGGGGCGACCTACTTATTTCACCCGTGTAGAGGTTAATATGCTTCCGGTACAGGTGGGGGCCAAATGGTACGGCACCATCCGGCTTCGAAGCGTTCATGAATTGCTCCCTGTCAAGCACGACATCGCAACAGCCTACAACACCAACAGGACAGGCGAAACACAGACAGACACCATAACACACGACACACAGAGACAATAATAAAAGAATAAATACAAATAATTAACTAATAAATTCTCTATTCTAATTGCGGAAATATTGCCACTCACCGCCCGGTGCCCCGCTCCGCTGCTCCTTTAAGTTCTGCTGTTTGGGCGGCGGCACAGAACCGAACATCATGGGATGGAAGACCTTTGGCCACAATATGGCAATGCATCCTATGACGGTGACAATAATCAGGGCCGTCTTCTTGGGCGTCATACCCTCCTCCTTTATGGCGGATGGCCGTTTCTTCGCTGTCGCTGACTGTGGTGGCACCATGGCTGCTGAAGGCATTTCGTAGTCGTTTCCAAAAATCGTTCCTCTCCGAGTTAAAGCTAAAACCAAAGGCTTAATAATTCCTGATTTGTTTGGATCGTTGAGTTGATTTGCTCTCTGAATGCGGCTGCTAAATGTTTTGGCTCCAGTTTGCGGTTAACTTTGACATTGGCTCATTTTTGTTTAAATGTAGATTGTGTTTCTGTACGTCTAAAGCATTATCTGAAATATACAATATACATGGAGTTGGTAATATAATGTAGTGACACGCTCCAGTTCCAGTTCGACATTAAATCGGGAGTCGTTCACTTCACTGATCACGAGTTACAATGCAAAATCATTTGGGTTTATTAAAATATTGTTGTGGGACAATAACAAAAAAGACTTTATTACATAAATAGCAGTCCCGATATTATTTATTTTTAGCTCGCGCAATTCGGTCTTTTCGGTCCGTCTAATAATTTTTCATTATTTTCCTCTCTGTCTGCACACAGAAATCACTGTCGGCAGCTTTCTTTCCACAATTAACGACCGCATAAATAATATTAAAATATTTTTCCAAAAACACCGTTTCAATTGCTTTATGGATATCTGTGTGGCCCGGACGGAAAGGTTGCCCGGAGACCTGGGGAGCGGAGCGACAGATCTTACGCAAAGTTCGAATGTTGTTCCCGAACTGGTCAGGCAATTTTCTGAAACTATTAGCGAATTTTTAAAAACGGCGCACGGCCCAGCCGACACGACTTATGAGATCGCGCTCTCTGCCTCCGTGTGGTGTGCTCTTCTTGCTAATCGTCGGCGAGCATTGGTCCGTTATTTTTGCCGCTATAACGGCAAAAGTCAAATAAAATAAAATAATGAGTGCGACAAAACGACTTGAAACGTGGGCCCCTTGCACTCGCTGTGGGCGAGGAGTGTGATTGCTCTTCTCCCCATTCCGAGCATTTTTTTGCATATATTTTTTCTGTTTTGATATTTTCAGTTTTCATTATTTCACAGCTTTCTTCTCTCTCTCTGTCTGCCTTATTATCACACACACGCGAAAATTGGCACACGCATGCATACATATGTAAGTACGCGAGAGTACTCATATGTATTATGAATTTTCTGCGGGAATTTTCTCCCAAACGTTTTCCATTTCGCTTTCAAACGCACTGACTGCGACTAAGCGAAAGTAAAATTGTTTGGCCGCGCACTGTTGTAGCTTTTCCCGTCTTAGCCGTTGCAGACACACCTGGACCTGGGGCCTAGATTTTCCGACCGTGCCAAAAGTACTCGTGCGCCTCGGAATGTTTGCTGTTATTTTATTTTTGGAGCCACGGCATTGAAACGGGGTTCAATGTCGCACAGCTTAAGCATGTATTCATCATTTATTTTTAATACTAAAATTTGTTAGCGTCCGAGTTTTTCAGGTCTGTTGTCCTTGGCGGTTTATTTGAACATTTGTGAGGACACTCTACTTATTTTGTAGCAATATTTACCATTTTCGTTAGTGTATATATTGACTGTATTTAAATATTCGTTAACTTATCTAATTACTGCTAATTTCAAACTGCTAGTTTGTCGTTACTCGAATGTAAGCATAAAATGCCAGACTACAGCATATTGATTTTTCAGCCCGTGTCCCGATAAGTATCGATAAGAAGGTAGCTAGTCTATCGGTTAAGGGCCGTATGACATTAGACTAGAAACTAGACTAGACATCTTTTTTAATCTGACAAACCAACTGGAAGAGAGAGCCAGCCTGCGACCGCCGTATGGGGAAAAGCATGCTATGAGAGCGAGAGCAAAGTCGTAAAAAGTGTCCTAGGTGTACGAAAAAAATGACAATGTTATACTATATTATGGCACTGGTATGTGCTTAGACTAGACTATTCAATTATATCGATAGAATTCATAAATATACATTACATTTTGCGGTATATTTTGATATTGACGAGGTATATTTCGGTATATATTACTGAGGGCACACTGCTCCTTTGTGTTATAAAATTTTAAATGCGTATTTATATTTATTATGCGTATATTCCGCTGATCTGAACGCTGAAATCTCCCATAGACCTTGGAAAAAGCAGCAGGGATCGTGACTCGAGTTCTTTTTGCCGGAGGTTTAACGGAAAAGCGCGCCTGGCGTGGCTAGTTATTTTTTTTATTTTGTCGCAAAGAAAGTGGAGCAAACAATGGAGGAATCGTGGGCCTGTGCATCGGTGGAAAAGGATCTCGACCGTGTGGTTACCAAGCTGGAGCAGCTGCGCGACAATGCCTCGGCCGACGTGGGGGACATTGCAATGCTAATGTCGGACCTGGTCAATGCCCTGGGCAATGCCGAGCAAATGGTGACCACTCTCAACTCCAGCACTCAGGTGAATGCAAATGCACCCAGCGTAGACGACCCGATGGGCGATGGGGTGAGCATGCAGGTGGAGACGGAGCCAACTGCACCGCAGCGTCCCACTGATCGCCACATGGAGGTCATCAGAGGAGCCATTTTAAAATGCAATGAGAGAGTGCAGAAGCTATCCACAGAGCATCGGGACTTGCACGGCTCCATTTCAAAGATTGGCAAGGCCATTGACCGCAATTTTAGCGCCGACTTTACATCCACCATGCGTGTCGATGTCCTGCAGGACGAGGAGAACCTGATGCTGCTGAACAAGGCCATTGCCAAGCACTATTGCCGTCAGGGCATGGACACGGTGGCCCGCACTTTGATCAAAGAATGCAAAATGACAGAGGACCAAGCCCAGGATGTGTTCGACTCGGAGCGGGAGTTCGCCGACATCTACAGCATTTGGATGAAGATACAGAAACGGGAGCTGACCGAAGCCCTTAAGTGGACAAAGCGCTACTCGCCGCAGCTCATGGAGCGGCAATCTCTCATTGAGTTTCGGCTGCACCGCATGCGCTTCATGCAGCTCGTCTCGTATGGGGTGGAGTCGCAGCACGAGGCCGTTGTCTATGCCCGGACGAATTTCAAGAAGTTTGCCTTGCGCTATGAGCATGAGATAGCCAACCTAATGGCCAGCTTTATATATCTGCCTGCCGGGCTGGAGAACTCGCCGTACAAGCATTTCCTGGGCCAGGAAATGTGGACTGAACTTTCGTTTATATTTCTGAAGGATGCCTGCCAGCTGCTGGGCATCAGTAAGAACTCCGCCTTGTCTGTTGTTGTGAATGCTGGTTGCACTGCCCTGCCCGCTCTATTGAACATCAAGCAGGTGATGCAATCGCGACAGGTTCTGGGCATGTGGAATGGCTGCGACGAGCTGCCCATCGAGATCGATCTCCAGCCGGAATTCCGCTTCCACTCAATCTTCGCCTGCCCCATCTTGCGTCAGCAGACCTCCGAGGACAATCCGCCAAAGAAGTTGACCTGCGGTCATGTCATCTCCAACGATGCCCTTCACAAGCTCAGCAACGGCCACATACTCAAGTGCCCCTACTGCCCCGTCGAGCAGAATGCCGAGGAGGCTGTTCGTATTTACTTTTAAGCCAGACCCAGACCTATTCTGTATTCACCCTAAGATTATAACAATTCAATTTTATGCGCTTGCACTCGGCTCAGGCAGTTCGTGGACAGAGACAGTGGTAGGGGTAGGGGTAGAGGGGTTGGCCAGCTTTCCTTAACAATCGTAACAGTTTTTAATAGTTTGCTTAGATTGAAGTTTTTAGACAAATTCGCAGGACGGAATCGAACTACTTGGGCCATGTTATTGTGCGAGAATGTGCGACATATTAACAGGAAAGCCTATGCAAACCATTTAGATTTACAATAAATATATATATGTATACTATATCATGTATTTAAAACCAACGACAGAATGCGTTTTCACATGGAATCCATTTGGATTGAATTACAAGATACTCGCTTTCTACTCGACAGTAGTCTGTCTAGTGCCTATGCTTGTGCTTGTGTTTTTCGCTACGATGTTTCGTAGGCGATGTGTCCTCCCGTCGATCAGATCGCGACGATCTGTACGGCGATGGAGAGCGTCGGGATCGAGAGGAAGTAGATGCAGGACTGTCGTACCGCGAGCTGCGTGCGGATCGCTCCGAGTAGCGCTTTGGCGAATCGGAGTTACTTCGCGAACGATTGCGTTTGGAGGATTTCGAGCTTCGTGAGTTCTCCGGTGAGTAGTCCCGCCGCTTGCCATCTCCCCCGCTGTAAGGGGAATGCGACCGTTTGCGAGAGACGCTCCTGTATGGTACTGGGCTCTGGCTCTGCTTGGAGCTCTTTGATTTGGTGTTCATGTAACTCAATGGAGAGTCGACGACGGACTCTGATCTTGAATCCTATTCGAATTGATTATAAGCAAATGGAAGACTAGTTGTTCAAGGCGCATGCATACCTGTTTCATCAGTCGCTTGCGGTAGTGCTCGACTTGTTCCACGACCGTCCAGCCCACTTCCACACGTCGCTTACCCGATTCGAGCTCATCTTGGTACTGCATGGCCTTTAATTCAATGTCCCTCAACTTCTGGCGCTTCTCATCGCTATACTGCTGCGAGCTGTCGTCGTCAGTGTCCTCTTCCGAACTAAAGAACTTGGGCGGGTCGGGCGGATCTAGTGTGTCCCATTTGCTGGTCGTAATGGCCTGGGCCTCCACTTGCTGAGGATCAACTGTCTCCCACTTTGAGGGTATAAAGCCAGGCAGCTTTACATGCGACTTGACCTCCTTTTCCAGTGGCACGCCATCGAGGTCTTCATCAACTGAAATTCCATATAGTATTCCACACGGTATTCTTCATTACTATTATGAACACTTACAGGGTATGCCATCGATTTCATCATGGTACTCCTCTCTGTTGGGCGTGTCGCGCTGTGGAGTGAGAGACTCTGGCAGAGCCAGCTTCAAGGCGCTCTTGAGCAGAGCAGCACCGTCTAATGGAACACCGTCCAGGTCCTCATCATCCTTATCGTCTCCGGATAGTGGTGCTCCATCTATATCTTCATCCACGGCCTCCTCAGAGCGTGATTCCTCAATTTGTGGGGAACTGGGCGGGATAACGTACTAAAAAGAAATCTTGTGAAGGTTCTCATCGCAAACAAAAGGGAAGGGTGATGCAAACCTGTTTGCCCAGGAATTTACATCGGAGCTGAGCCAAAAACTCTTTCGGATAGATGGTCCATTCCTCCCAGGTGCGTATGACATTGCAGACTCGGGACTTGAAGCCTTCCGCCTTGAGGCGGCTCTCAATATTCAGGCAATAGGCATGCAGACACTCAAACACCTCCATCAATTGCTTTTCCACGCTGCAGAGTACGAGTAAATCCAAACTGATAAGCCAATAAATAACGAATGGACTTACGATTTCCGAAAGAACGAGGCATTGGACACCTTTACTGTGCAATTGTGCAGGATATCTGAGATCAGGTATAGACGCGCGATCTTCTTCGATGGAAGCGTGTTGAGGCTTGTCATTGACTCGGTAATGCATTCGCATATCTCATCAGCAGCATCAGCATGTTCAATGCAGAAGATCATGGCATCCCCGATGCGAGCACGTTCTGGGATCAGGTGTCTGATGAGATCCTCGAGACGATCGCGTTGTGCATTGGACAGGGCTCCTTTGCTGACGACCGGTGCATCGGGATCCACAACCAGCTCATCTGGCATGCCCTGGGTATAAAAATTGGCCACCGGTGGCTTCCAAACGGGTCCATTCTTGAACATGCGAAACTCCTTCTCCCTCCACTCGCTGGGCGTGTCTCCTTGGCACAGCGAGAAGAGTTTCCAGCGGTAATATATGTGCGCCGGACTCTCGTTATCGAAGAGGAACGAGAACAGCGGATTCTCCATTTCGCGAATCATTATCGATGCCTCGAACAGGGGTCCTTCGCGTATAACAAACTCAATCATACGATGGATAACGTTGAGCACAGCCCTGCAAAGAGATTTATACTCAGATTAGTTGCCATGAAGACCAAACCGTCATGAGAGCTCTTACTTCTCCGTGGGAATGAAGACTTTTACAATTGACTTGCTAAGAATCTGAAAGGACGCAATTTTATTTTGAGATAATTTGATGGCTTCTCGCTGTGTTTTCATTACCCTCTCCATATTCTCCTTATCCTCCTCGCTGTCGAACTCCTTGTAGCTCTTTTTGGGCAACGTATCAGCCTCACTTGCGGGCGGCTGTGCATTGAAGGGCAGACCCGATGGCGGCGGAGGAAGGGTCAGCTCCATTAGCGCTTGTGGGGCAAATATGGGCGTGTTCATTATGGGCACTGTCTTACCCCAGCCCAGACGCATCTCGTAACCCATGATGTAGCGGCCGTTGAGGGTTCGAAGAGCCCTTTCGGCGTCCCTGCGGCTCATGTAGGCTACAAAGCCGCAGTTGCGACCACGCGCCTTCTCCTCATCGGATCGAGGCCACATGATCTTGATGCTCGCCAGGGGACCATAGCGTCCGAAAGTCTCCATAAGCTGCTGCTCAGATATCTTCGGATTGAGGTTGCCCAAGTAGAGGTTGGTGGTATTCGGATCCCCGGTGTCAAACGAACCCACTTCGCGCGCATTGTTTGCTGCCTGCTGTGAGCTGCTGGAGGCACTACTGCTGCTTTGTGATGCCGCCTGCTGCGGTGGCTGCTGTTGCTGTGCTGGAGGAGCCTGGGATACGGCCATATGCTTGTACTTGTGCCGCTCCTCGCGTTCTTCTTGGATCCTGATAGAAATTGGCATTAGCACGAAATAATCGTGGCAGGAATGGTAGTTGAACTTACTGTCTTAGCTCCTCCTTGAACAGTTCCAAGTTGCTTTTCTTCTTCTCCTGATTTTTCTTTTTCAGCGGCTCCTTTTTGAGATCCGAAGCCAGCGTCTTGGCGTATTCCTCGATCTTGTCGGGTTCCTTATCCATTAGCTTCGACCAAGGCTTATACAGTTTTCCCTTCTCCGACTTGTCCTCGCGCCTGGAGCCTGCATCGTAGGTGCCGGCTTTGACCCACACCTTGGACGAGGGGGTGGGAGCTTCTTGGAACGTTTCCACGAACTCTTTGAATGCCTAGAACATCAAATCGTTGTACATATAGCCAGAGAGACAGTGACAGAGACAGTTTCCACTTACATGTGCCGCGGCAGCCGCATCCTCCTTTTTCTTCTGCTCCTCAATCTCTTTCTTGGACAAATGCGGCTTCGAGAATGTGCCCACCGTGAAAGCCTCCAATTTTTTTTCGCTTATTCGCTGCAAATCAGGATTAAGTTTTAAAATCTGCAAACGTGCTTTGTGGAGATGTTACCTTCATTGAGGCTGCTGCCGCGGCCGCATCCTTGGGTTTATTCGTTTTATTCATGCTTAAATAAATAATTTACATTTTCCGCAGATATAGAAAAGACAAATTAACGATAGGCAGGCTATCGATTTGTTGCCAGCGACTCCCATCGCTATCGCAATGTAAATTTCTATTATTGCTACAAAAAAATTTTTAAAATTAAATAAATGCAAAAATGGACATTTGCCGTTTGTGTTTGCGCGGGATCGGCGGAGCCCAGATGTGTCTACAGATCTTCGATGCGAGTGCAATGGACAACAAAGTCGCCGAAGTGCTGCGCCAGCATTTCTGGTTCGAGGTGAGAACCGAACCATTCCATTTCATTCTTATATACACACATTAGATCTAAATACAAATGTATATGGTTCTGCCCAGGTTCTGCCCAACGACGAGATATCAAAAGTTATCTGCAATGTCTGCTGGACCCAGGTGTCGGAGTTCCACCAGTTTTATATATCCATACAAGAGGCTCAAGTTATTTATGCCACCACCTCAAAATTTAAGCAGGATCCCGAGACGGTGAACACATCCTGGCCGGAGGAGGTACTAATGCCAGCCGATGTGCTGGCGGTGGACAATGATGTCAGTGCGCAGATAAATGTGAATCCTCTGGATGAGCTAGAGCTGGGCCAGACTCTGTCGCCGGAATCGCCAGTCGACAGTAAGTTGGACATCAAAACTGAGAGGCAATCCCCAGATCTGGATTTTGGCCTCGAGCCCAACCACGACGACGATGACGATGACGACGACGTCGATGATGATGATGATGATGACGACTATGAAAATGAGGAAGACGATTTAATTGTTACAAGGAGTGGGCGGAAACGGAAGGCGAGGGAGGGTGTTGCGAAGCCAGCCAAAACGAAAAGGATGGGACAGACGGGAAGCAAGGGCAAAGATAAAATTAAGAAACCTAAACCAGTGAAAAGAGTATTTAAGATGGAACGCTTGCCGCCTTTCTGCAAGGAAGATGAGGAACTCATCAAGCGATACATTGTGATGGGCTGTGAGCTGTGCATATTTTTGGCAAATGACTTCGACGGGATTCGGGAGCACTTCAAGGAGAAGCATCCAGAGGAACGGCCCTACATCAAATGCTGCGGCCGGAAGCTAAACAAGCGTTGTCTCATCCAAGAGCACGCACGAAGGCACGAGAATCCGGAATATATTAAGTGAGTACGGGGATTCCAAGCCATCATCCGTAAAAAATTTCAAATGGTTAACTTTCCGTAGGTGCAAGGACTGTGGCAAAGTGTTCGCCAACTCTAGCGTATTGCGCGCCCACTGGCTGGTTCACCATGTTCCCGATGAGGAATGTGACTTCCAGTGCGAGGACTGTGGAAAGCGCTTCTCCCGCCGTAATCTTCTTGAGCTGCACAAGGGCTCCCATGTGCCAGTAAACGAAAGAAAGTACATTTGTCCCGAGTGCCCCAAGCACAATGCGTGAGTATCCCTTGATGCATAAGAGAAGGACATCATATAACATCCGCTCCACAGCTTCGCCACGGAATACCACATGCAGGTGCACATAAGCATGCAGCATCGCAAAGCGGCGAATGTGTGCCATGTGTGTGGCAAGAGTATCAAGGACAAGGCCGTCTTTGAGAAACATGTTCGCCTGCATTTTGAGGAGAGTGGGCCACGCATCAAATGCCCCCGACCGGACTGCGAGAGTTGGCTGAAGGATGAGGATAACCTCAAGCAGCACTTGAGGCGCCACAACGACGAAGGCAAGCTATTCATTTGCTCGGAGTGTGGCAAGAGCTGCAAGAACTCTCGTGCGCTGATCGGCCACAAGCGCTACTCCCACTCGAATGTGATTTACACCTGCGAACAGTGCGGCAAAACGTTCAAGAAAGATATAAGCCTAAAAGTGAGAAAGCAGTCCTTAAATTTGCTGTTACCTTTCCCATCATTTTGTACTTGGATGTATGTTTCAGGAGCACATGGCCCAGCACACTGGTGAGCCTCTGTACAAGTGTCCCTTCTGCCCGCGCACCTTCAATTCGAATGCCAACATGCATTCGCACAAGAAGAAAATGCATCCAGTCGAGTGGGACATTTGGCGGAAAACGAAGACGGGAAGCTCTCAGAAGATCCTGCCCAGTGCACAAGTGGCTCAGATGTTCCGAGACGATGCCGATGCCGCAGCTATTGCCAATGACTACACTACAGCTTAGGTTTAGAAATGCTTAAGGATCAAGTTGCAACTGATTTATCTTTGTTTGAAAACCAATTATACGTACAAAAAACAAAAACGAGAACTTGGTTGCAATTGGTGTCTGGTCGGTCGGAGGGGGGCATGGACGTGCCGAGCTTGGAGGATAAACAAATGTAGATTATAAATAATCAAGCTAGCTAGTAATATTACACCGAATATATTAATCGACGAATTGGATTTCCGATCAACAAAGAGGAACATAAGCCCATTGTCATCCAGACAGTTTTTAATATTCCAACGAAAATGGAGAAAAGATTTTTGCTGTTTAATTCAAGTTTTTAACCTGTGTAAATAGATGGGGGCTTAAGTGGGTTGTTTACGGTATATCAGTATTTTTATAGTATATTACAATTTTTGTTGGTATATTACGGTATATTTGATCGATAAATCAAACAACAACAAATCAGCCTGCCTGCGTGGAACAAAAAACAAATTTTGTAGAAAATGAACGTAAGTAATATTTAATATTTACGCCCATAACATGCACTTATTTGGTTTAATTTTCGAACAAATAAGGAGTCTGAGATCCCCATTGACATTCATACGCTGAAGTTGCAAGACTGGCTGATTAGCCGCAGGATTGTGCCCAAGAATATTCAACAGGAGATTAAGGATATACACACCAAAATCAGCAATGCCCTCCAGGATATGCCGTCCAACGAGCAGCTGATTAAATTATTGGCCAAAGCAAGTGAGTGGCATGTGGTCCGTTGTGTTCATCCATATGTCAGTGCATCCGTTTCGTTGCAGATATCAACTATTACCATGTGAAAGAGATAATTGAAATCCTGAAGCAAACGGAGAAGGATACAAAGAGCGTGTTTGGCACCTACGGCAGTCAGCGTATGAAGGACTGGCAGGAGATCTGTCGCCTGTACGAAAAGAATGCCACATATCTGAGCGAAACGGCTCAGATCTTTGTGCGAAATGTGAACTTTGAGATTCCTGGGATGCGAAAGCAAATGGCAAAGCTGGAACAACTCACCGATGAAAGCCTGAAGAGAGCCCAAGACATGCACAAGCCGGAAGGTCAGCTCCTGGCTGAGCATGCCGCCTTACTCGAACAGCTGGGCGTGAAGGGAGACAATCTACATGCGGAATTCATAGAGGTTCTGGCTGGCCTGCCCGAACTCTACACCAAATCCTTGCAGGATATTGGCAAGGTTCAGAACGGCATCGAAATGTACGCCGAGATCAGTGGGCACAAGCAGTCGTTACCCATTCTTCGTCATCTGGTTGAGTTTGGAAACACCACAGTCTATCAGTACATTCACAAGGAAGCACCACTGGCCGTCGAGGAGCCTCCCATAAGGCTGAACCTCAGTGTGGGCATTGCTGTCAAGGATGGAGAGGGCGATAATGCCGTTACCGAAATTGACTTTGGAACGGATGACAATGGCGGAACCTCCTCTACCGTTTCGGCGGAAATCATTGACTACGGTGACTTTGGGGGTGTGGATCTGCCGGAGACCGATGGCGGCAACATCGATTGGGGCATCGAGAGTGCACCCACGGATGCTGTGGAAATCAACTTTGACATTCCAGTCGAGGAGTATGGCATCGTGGTGGAGGGCACAGGCATGGATGGTGGCACTGCCAAAGGTAAGCTGTTATGGTTTCTCGTCTCTCCACCGGCTCTGCTTATCCTCACGAAACTTTGCAGGTGACCAGGCCTACACACTCCTGGATTCGCCCAACTATCGGGATCGTTTTCTCGACGAGCTCTTCGAGCTGGAATCGTTTCTGCGCTTGCGCCTCTATGAGCTCAATCAGTTGGAGTCCTCCAGCAATATAATGTACTCGCTTATGGACAGCATTGCCACACACGACGCTGATAGCATAAAAAAGATTCTCAACTACATCGAGAAAATCATCCAGCAGACATCCGATGAGCAAACGCGCCATCTCTTCCAACTGAAGCATTCGTCAAAGTACGCGAATCTTCTTGCCACCAAGCTGCAGCAGATGACCAAGGCCGTGGAGAAGCTACGATCGACGCGCGAGGTGCTCAAGAAGCGTGCCGTCGACCTGCGGGAGCAGCGGCTGCAGCTTAATCCCGTACTCGAAGAACTGATTGCCCAAACGCGTACCCTACAGTCGCACATCGAGAAGGATATATCGAAGAGGTATAAAAATCGTATGGTTAATCTAATAGGAGGCGTAAACTAAACTGAACGAGGGACAGCTCTTGGGAATAAATTGATTGTTAAATGGTTTTCTTAATTAATTGAAATTGAATGTTGGGCTGGGTAGAACAAATGCGCGTTGGTACATTTTTTAAAAGAAGGTTTATTCACTTTTATTTTGCTATTTTTATTAAATATACAAATTTTATTTATATCGTGTTGTTTTTTTTCTTTTAATTGCCAGTTTTTTTTTTGCTTGTATCCAGAATACAAATCTAATTTTAGTGAAGTTTGTTGTTGGTTTGTTTGTTTGTTTGTTGTTGCATAAAAGTATTCTTAAACATTTAACGTTTTAAACTTTCACTTAATGGTACAATTCTTATGTTGCTGGGTCTGAATAATATGTAAAACAAGAACAACGTTATCCTGATTAACTTAAATGTTTTGTGGGCCTGTCTTGAATCTAAGGAAATTCTCGAAAATATATCAACTCAATTGGGAGTGATGGAGAGGGGAGGAGAGGAAAGAGTCGTGGACTGGACTGGAGTGGAGTGAGGGAAATGCTCTACTAGTTATACAAGGATTGGGTGTAAAAAGCCACAAGATGCTGAGGGGATATGGATATACATTGGGATTTGATATCAACTAGACTTAGGCACTAATCTAACAAAAGTGTGGCTGGCGGTAATCGTCGGAAAGGCTTTACAAGTGTAATCGTAATCAATTCATTAA